GTGGTGGGCACCTGTAGTCCCAGCTACTCGGGAGCCTGAGGCAAGAGAATCACTTAAGCCCAAGAGTTTGAGGTTGCTGTGAGCTCTGACATCACAGCACTCTACTGAAGGTGACAAAGTGAGACTCTGTCTCAAAAAAAAAAAATTAGTAGCTGAAAGGCAGAAGTTTTGAATCTCTAATGCTAGGACACCTCACAGCCTGGACAAGAGCCAAGACCCCCCTACCACTAAAATTAGAAAAACTACCTGGGTGTGGCGGGCATCTGTGGTCCCAGCTACTGGGGAGATTGAGGGGGGAGGATCGCTTGAGCCCAGGAGTTTGAGGCTGTGGGCTATGATGATATGGCACTCTACCTGGGGTGATAGAGTGAGACTCTTTTCTTGAAAGAAACAGAGAGAGAAAGAGAAGAAAGAAGAAAAGAAAGAGAGAAAGAGAAAAAAGAAAGGAAAAGGAAAGGAAGAAACATTTTAAAGCAATTTGGTTGAATTTTCTTTAAAATTTATCATTTAAATATCACTGAAGGCTCATTGAGTTAATGCCAAAAAGTATTATTATTTTTGAGTCAGAGTCTCACTTTGTTGCCATAGTGTCATAGCTCACAGCAACCTCAAACTCTTGGGCTTAAGTGATTCTCTTGCCTCAGCCTCCCCAGTAGCTGGGATTACAGGCATTTGCCACAACGCCTGGCTAGTTTTAGAGATGGGATCTCACTCTTCTCAGATTGGTCAAACTCCTGAGCTCAAGGGATCCTCTCACCTCAGTCTCCCAGAATTCTGGGATTACAGGCGTGAGCCACCCGGCCCTGCTGGTGCTAAAGGCCTTCATCCACTCTCCAGTATGTGTCTTACCCTATTTGATACTTTATTGTAGAAAATAACTGGTTTCAGTCATTCTGAGATAGATGTTTTTCATCTTCTGACACCAGTGACACGGTGTGCATCTCATGAGCCAGTGCAGTGCGGTGCTCACTAACCTGTGTCGTGACCCTGAGTTGTCACAGACATGCTGTGCTGTGTGCATAGCCTGGTTCATATGCACAGCAGCCTGTGGAGGAAGTGGGACTCAGGTAGGTTAAGTACAGACCAGTCTTACCCTTAGTTATGGTTCACTTGTGGTTTAGGGCGGGGTTTCTACCCATTCTCTCCTCTGATCTGCACATGCTAGGGAGATTGGTGTCGCTATTATCTTCTTTATTTTACAGTTCAGAAAATTAAAGTTCAGCTTAACATTTTGAAATTATTGGACTCAATAAACAGTTCTAGCTCAGTAATGAAATTGGAATATTGAAGACTATCAGTCTGTGTCCACTGAGGAGAGAGAAGCCTACAGCAGTTAAAAAGAGATCTTTGTCTGAAATGATTAAGTTCTGATGAAAGAATGATCCTAGGATAGGAGACCGTGTATGCCCTGTAGGGCTGAAGGAGTCCCTGACAGGACAGATATGGAGGGCCTCTGCCTGGGGCTGGAGTTCAGCCTGTGGAGAGCAGGGAAGTTCATTGCTTTGGCCATTGGTGGGCATGTGGGGGTGGGGAACCTTGGACCCTAGCAAGTCACACATTGGCTGCAGAGGGAAGCTGGGTGCTATTGTGGGCAGAGGCCCTCTGTGCCAGCAGTGGTGGTGTTTCAAGGGTCATGAGAAGGTCACAGCCTGGTCTAGGTGACTGCACCTGTCTCCCACATGTCCCTCCAGCGCCCTCTGCTGAAAAGGTGAGGTGAGTGGTGTCTAGGGCTAGAGCATGTAGGGAAGGGTGTGTTTGGTGCGGGAAGGCAGTAGTTTATGCCTGGCACAAAGATACCATGTCTCCATGGTGAATTTTGGGGAGATGTCTTTATTCTGAATAACCCCTTGAGGTTGGCCACCACTTATCCTTGGAGGTGTGAGTACCTCACCCGTCCCAAGATGTGGGGCTGTAGCGGCTGAGCATTGCTGGCGTTCTCTTCCCAGGCCCCATCCCTTTAGGCCACACCTGCCTTTCACACCTGCAGTGGCAGCAGTGGTACCATGAGACCCAGCCTTGCAGAAGGCCAGCTTTTGTCCTGTCATGCTGGCTCATGCTTGTAATCTCAGTGCTTTGAGGGGCTGAGGTGAGAGGATGGCTTGAGCTCAGGGTGGAGGCTGCAGTGAGCTATGATCACACCACTGCTCTCCAGCCTGGAGGACCCTTTCTCTTAAAGAAACAAGATAATATAACGTGAGCATGTTGGGGTCATGTCACAAATGCAACTTTATCACTTGAAAATTAAACTATATAATTATTTATATCAACAGGTTAAAGAAGAATTCCATATATGCAGAGGCATTTGATAAAATTCAAAATTTGTCTAGGATAAAAATTCTTAGTAAATTAGGAATGTATTAGACCTTTGTTAATCTAATAAGTACTACAAAATCCTACAAAAAGTATCATAACAGACTGTGAAAGTTTAAAAATATTCCCTATAGTATTAGGCGTAAAACCAAGGTGACTATATCCACTTCTCAAAATTGTGATTTTAGTCCCTAGAAAAGGCAAAGAAAAATGTAACAATTAGAAAAATAAACACAATCCTTAGTCTCATAATTATTATAATATGTATGTTAAACATCAAAAGTACAAACATATGATAAATGAAATCAGAGAAGTTAGCAAGCTTTTTGGTAAAGGAAATCAATACCTACAAATCAGTCAGATTTCTATAATGACAAAAGAGTAATTATAATAAAACTAGAAGGAATATACAGTATCTTAGAATAATGGGAGAGAAGCTATGCATGTTCCTTATGGATAAAATAATAAAACATTTTGGAAACATTGAAAAAGTACTGAATATTGAAGATATATGTCATGTTCATTGATTAAAAGTCTCAGTATTATGGGCGGCGCCTGTGGCTCAGTAAGTAGGGTATCAGCCCCATATACCGAGGGTGGTGAGTTCAAACCCAGCCCCAGCCAAACTGCAACAGCAAAAAAATAAAAAGGAAAAAAGAAAGTTTAAAAAAAAAAGTCTCAGTATTATAATAATAGAGTCAAGTAATTCTAATAAAAGTCTTAACATGAAAAAAAAAAAAGAAGTCTTTATTCCTGTTGTCACCTCCATAGTCTGCTTTGGTGAATAAAAACTCTTGGTATTTAATATAGCAATGCTGAGTGGTCCTTTTTTTTTTTAGAGACAGACAGAGTTTTACTTTGTCACCGTCAGTAGAGTGCTGTGGCGTCAAAGCTCAGAGCAACCTCTAGCTCTTGGGCTTAGGTGATTCTCTTGTCTCAGCTTACCGAGTGGCTGGGACTACAGGCGCCCGCCACAACGCCCGGCTATTTCTTTTTTGTTGCAGTTTGGCCGGGGCTGGGTTTGAACTCACCACCCTGTGTATATGGGGCCAGTGCCCTGCTCACTGAGCCACAGGCGCTGTCCAAGGGGTCCTTTTTTATATAGGCTTGGCACTTGTTGTGCAGTGGCTAGGGTGCCAGCCACATACTCCAGAGCTGGTGGGTTTGAATCCAGCCCAGGCTTGCCAAACGGCAATGACAACTATAACCAAAAAATAGCTGGGCGCTGTGGCGGATGCCTGTAGTCCCAGCTACTTGGGAGGCTGAGGCAAGAGAATTGCTTAAGTCCAAGAGTTTGAGGTTGCTGTGAGCTGTGACTCCACGGCACTCT